AGAGAGACAGAGAGAGAGAGAGACAGAGAGAGAGAGAGAGAGAGAGATGTTGACTGGTTGAACAATCAGAGTGAGATGTCTTCAACAGAGGAGCAAGATAAGCTCCACCCACATGGCTGAAGAAGAAGTTTCTGGTGAGGTCAGAGGTCAGAGGTTAGGTCACTGATCCATATGGGACGGATCCACAGGTAAGACACAGCTCACCTGTTCAGTGCTGAACACAGCAACAGGAACCATCAGGAGTATCTCCACTATGAGTGGGACTTCTTTGAGACAGCCCCACCCTCTTCATTACAAACATCTGACCCCCCAGCTGTTCTCCAGAGAACATACAGGTGGCGTCAAACATCACGTTACCTGAGCTTTCCCCAGAGTGACCAGAGTCTCCAACAGTTTGTGCTGCAGCAGATACTCCATGCACACGCCTGTGTCCTCCACCAACTGTATCAATAATCAATAATCAATACATCAGTTTATCAACAGTCAGCCTCCATTTACTTTGCTGTCATGTAAAGACACCTGAAGAAAACCAATGATGAAATACCCTGTTCAGGTGAGTGTGTTACCTGTTGTTTCTCCTCATACACCAAGATGTCCAACATCTGTCTGAGACGCCAGGGGATCTCTGTCTGTCTGACAGGACGACTGTCATCTGCACACACACACACATGAGGAGGACACTCGTTGACATAACCCCCCCCCCCACACACCACACACACACATGAGGAGGACACTCGTTGACATAACCCCCCCCAGACACACACACACACACCACACACACACACACACACACACACACACACACACACACACACACCTGTTGTCTCGATGTAATAGTTTGTGATTGATTTCCAATGATCCACAAAGGAATCCAGAAGGTCCACTGTGGGCTCCCTCTGAGAGACAGACAGGTAGACAGAGATAGGTAGAGAGACAGACAGGTGGAGAGAGAAACAGGAAGACAGACAGGTAAACGCACAACTCTCTTTCCTCCTGATAAACTAAGTTTGTTTTAGTTTTAGTCTTAACATTAAACTGTGTGAATGTCCCCTCAGTCTGCAGAGACACAGAGAGACAGACAGAGAGAGAGAGACAGAGACTCAGACAGACACAGAGACAGAGAGACAGACAGAGAGAGACAGAGACTCAGACAGACACAGAGAGACAGACAGAGAGAGAGAGAGAGACAGAAACTCAGACAGACACAGAGACTCAGACAGACACACGGATTGAGAGACACGGAGAGACAGACAGAGAGAGAGAGACAGACAGACAGACAGAGACTCAGACAGACAGAGAGACAGAGAGACAGAGACACGGAGAGAGAGGGACCCAGACACACAGACGGTCTTTTCCCGCTCCGTCCTCCACGTCACAAACTCTAACTTAAACTTTTTACACAGAACAAGCTAACAGAAGCTAACAAGCTAACAGAAGCTAACTGATCTAACTGGGCTAACTCACCGTCTCCAGCGCGTGCAGAAGCATGCTGGTTAGCTTACTGAACGTCTCCATTCTCCCACCTAAACCCACCGATTGTCCGTTAACCTGGACTAAACCCGGTCAGTTGTCTATCAATTACAGGTTTACTGCGACATTTTCACAAGTTAACTAACAGCTGACCGCTCTGTCAACAACAGTCAGTTCACTTCCGGGGTCCAGTTTCAAAACAAAACGCAGTCCGGATGAATTCGATCTTCAAAATAAGAGCTTCGTTAACAAATCTGGAGACTTCTCAGGACGTTAAATGAAAATAGAGTCAGAGCAGCAGCGTTAATGATTAAAAGAAATTAATTAATTAATTAATTAATAATAATAATGTTTCCAAATCACGTGATGTACAATACAATTATTAACAATGATTAAAAAGATAAATTAGTGATCAAGAAAAGTTGATGATGCAGTAAATACTTTTGAGTATGGAGTTATTAGTTATTTTACATTAATATGATGCATCTTCAGGGATGAAATGATCCAACAGAATGTAAACACAGGAGATCACTCTGTGAGTGCATCAATAAGATCAAATAATACAGTAAAATATACAAGAAAATTCCTGGAGAAATTTTGAATGTGCCTGCTGCGAGGTTCGTGTATTTCACTCTTCACGTTTCAATCTGCACAAAGGACGTTACTTTCAGTTTCATTCATGTCGTAGAGACTCATCCTGACACTGACCTCAGTCACTGCAGCTGTCCCTCAGAAAGCCTTTTGGAGCTGTGACGACTGAACACAATAACCTCACACTGATGGTTTCAAACACAAATGTTTCTCCACAACCACAGCAAGACATGTACACACACATGTACATGTATACACACATGTACATGAACAACAGAAGCTGCTCTGCAATAAAGCTATACCACTATATCCCCATATAGACGATCGCTTCTAAGATCGGACTTATTTGACCTACCTCACCTCTTAACTTTTTGAGACTCTTATTTTGAAAGTGTCTGTGCTTCTGTGTTTGGCAGTATAAATTGCATAAGGTTTTGTACAACAGAGCCAATAATTTCTTCTTACCATGTTAAGACTTATTTTGAAGGTTAATCAAAATCGTACACATTGTTTGTGTGTTTCTGTCAATATATATATATATATATATATATATAAACTGTATATGTGTGTGTATGTGTGTGTGTGTTTATGTGTGTGTATGTGTGTGTTTTTTGAGTGTAGCGGTAGAGCTGTCCAACAGAACCTCTAGTAAGTTCTTCTTTTACCTGGTTGAGATCTTGTTTTAAAGGTGAATATCAAAAAAGTAAGATGGATTTCCTCAAAAACCATTAAAGATATCAAAAGAGGACCAAAACTGGGTGATATAGGGAAAAAAAATCTTCTACATTTTTGATATAAAAATTGTCAATGAAGGTTGCAAATTGTGGGATTTTTAAAAGAGTTTGTTCTGACTTTTTTTGAGGAAAACTTTCAGGGATAGTAGTTAGCTCTGGTTAACGAGTGGAGCTGTGCCTAAAGACAGCAGACTTTACTGAAGATGTAGTAAATACCACAATCCCCCACAGTGAAGTTACAACAACACCACACTGAGACGAGCGAGAGAGGAGGGAGACTGCTAAGCTAAAGCAACTAGCAGATCTGAACAGCATAGTAAACAACTGCTGAGTTAGTGAGAGTTGCTAAAAGGAGCAGAGAGCTCTGAGTGCTGGAGCAGAACTAGTGTAAGTTTAAATGTACAGCAGGTAGTTAGGACTCTGTGAAGAAAAAAACAGAACATTAACTGTGTTCAGACAGAGCAGCAATAAACTCCACGGTAACAGAAACAACTGGCGAATGGACACTACAACTGACGTCAGCACGTAACATGTGACGGGCGTCACTACTATTACTGAAAAGACATCAGTAGAAGTAAATCACAGTGTAAAAATTGTTCTCAGATAAAAGAACAAAGTAAGTCAGTTAAAATGTTTCTGTTTATTGCGTTACATTTGAAAAATGGGGAGAGAGGGGTCAAACATGTTACAAGGGTGATTAATGATGATAAAACTATAAAATTAAAGAAGATCTTTAGGTTACCAGATATATCAGTTCCCAGGTGAGAACAGCAAACAAATCAACCAATTAATTGCAGTAGGCACTTTGGAGCCTGAGCATACACCTGATAATTACTAATACACTCAGTTGGCAATTTATTATTATAAAATAGTTTTAGACAGTTGAGGTGTTTCTGTTATTTAGCCTACCTTAAGTGATAAAAATTATTGAAGGTTAATCAAAATCATAGAGATGGTGTTTGTTGTGTTTCTGTCTATATATATGTGTGTGTGTGTGTGTGTGTGTGTGTGTGTGTGTGTGTGTGTGTGTGTAGGGGTGGGGGCATGTGCACACACCCAGACCAGACCAAACTAGACCCCTGAATGTATTTAATTCATGCATTCTTCCTCGTAAACAGTAAAGATAAATAAAGACATCAGGAGTTAGAAACACTGTGTCATAATCTCATGCCCCCTTTGAATTAAACAAATGAACACGTCTTGGTCCTGATGTCATGTGTAACTCTAAAACTGGTTCCTCTGTCTGATCACTTCACATCAAAAACACTCGTCATAGTAATGACCATTCCTGTATTGACTGACAGAGAGTTTGGCATGTGTCCACAGATCTTTCACACATCTCGTTTCCCTCCCTGACACCAGACACAAGCACACACACACACAAAGCACAAGCACACACACAGCACACACACCACAAGACACACACCACAACACACACACAACACAAGCACCACCACAAGCACACAACACACAAGCACACAAGCACACACACACACACACACAGCACACACACAAGCACAACACACACACACACGCACACAACACACACACACACAAGCACAAGCACGCACACACACACACACACACAACACCACAAGCACAACACGCACACACACGCACACACACGCGCACACACACACACACACACACACACACACTGTTAACAATAGTCTCACTGATAGAAAATAAGTAGAAAATAAAACATCTAATTAAATCGACAGAAACAGAAAAGTTTGCTGAAAGTCTTCTGAACAATGACTCATGAACACCACAAAGGAAGCAGCTGGTGTTCAGTCTGGGTGTGGATCAGGCTGGGTGTGTCTGCTCAGCTGCACACAGGAGGAAGTGAGGGGGTTGTACGGTAAGGTTACCTGCAGCCCTCCTCACAGTCAGTCAGTCTTCAGGTGGAGCTCAAGCCTTCGTTTGTTCTGCCAGCAGTTTCCATCCAGGACTGAACGACGTCCAACAAACACTGACGGTGAGTTTCCTCTTTACTTAACATCCGTCTGTGTTTTCAATGAGTCCAGGTCAGGTCCATGTTCAGGTCCAGACTGGGTCAGACTCTGAAACAAACAGGTTAACAACAGTTTTTTAGTCTTCATCATGGCGGTCATTAGTCTCTGTTCATCCTCTCATCAATAACTCATGTGTGGACAGCAGCTAAGTTTCACACCTTCACTCCGGACTTTATGAATCTGATCCTGGAGCTGTTCCAGTCCCCAGTGAGGCGTTTACTGTGGAGTTTTGAACAACTGTGAAGCTGCTTCCTCTTTAAGCAGTTTAAATGTGAAACAGCTTCGACCTGTCTGTTCTGTCTGTCTGTCTGTCTGTCTGTCTGTCTGTCTGTCTGTCTGTCCGTCCGTCCGTCCGTCCGTCCGTCGTCCGCGTCCGTGAGGGTGAGTCACTTCCTGTATCTCTGAGCTGCAGCAAAGATGTTTGTGTTGGAGAAGATGAGTCACTCTGCTATTTGTCCCTGAGGCTGTTGCAGATTACAACATTTACATTCACTCATCAGACAGAGACTCACAGTGAGGTTCTTGAGATCTTAGTGAAGCTTCTCAGTTCTACATGTATTTAATAAGTGAAGGAGACAGGTGTTCAGTCACAGCCACTGAGACACGTTCAGGTATTAGAGGTGTGAGGAGAGGAGGTCTCTCTGAAAGACATCATACACAACAATCACTTTACTCTTTTATTTTGGTCTGTAAAGAATAAACACAAGTCATTTGGGAAATAAAAAGATAAAAAAGAAAGAAAAGATTAAATAAAAAAAATAAAAGAAAGGAGAGCAAAGAAAGGAAAGATAAATTAAATAAGAAAAGAAAATAAGAAAAGATAGATAATCCTGTCTTCTTCTCACATTGAGGACATTTACAGTGTAACAGCAGGAAGATGAACAGTGCAGAGAAACACAACATGTTAATACGCAAAATACTGAAAATGTAGATACAGATGTTTTCCTAAGACTGAAAACAAGAGGTAAAGCTACGGTGACTGACTGACCTTTTTTTTTTTTTTTTTTTTTTTTTTTAAATAAAACTTTATTGACACCAAAGAAACATTGAACACACCTGACACGGTCCTGCTGCACTGAATAATCATTCAGACTTGAAATATTTAAGTCTTAAACTTAGGTCCTGGTGTGTGGTGGCT